CTAACAGGTTTTTCTTCATATAGTGCGGTTGAATTAGTAATTACTCCGTGTACATAGTTCTTGATAAGATAATTACTCAAAGATCACCACCTTTTTACCAGCAGTTATGCAAATAAATTGAAATAAATAATAAGTAAACCATGCGACATTCAGAAAATCAAGTATCCGAAAAATATTTTAACAGTCCTCATGGAATCATTTTCAGTTATTCCTCACATACCTCAGGGATAGGAGCCAGCCCTCCAATGGCTAGGCGCTCACCTCAAAGCAACAAGGTTGGTATATTACGTTTGTTTTATTATCTCGCTACTTATTTTTTTGTTTTATCACTTATTATTATTCCATTTTTTGTGATATTCTAGAAACAGTTGTAGTCATTCTTAGTTTTCCCCATTATTAATCCCCCTTTTGACTGCTCATTCCACCTAGTTTTGGCCATCAAATACATTCTGTACGCTGTGGATGCTGAGGCGTGCCAGGAGGGTTGGGTCTTGGCGCAGTGCCAGCCCGTTTTCCGAAAATCTTTGTCACTTGCCCTTTTGACAAATTGATGAAGAACGTACGGACTGGCGCCGCGCCAAATTAACCCCTCCCCTTCCCCTTTTGAAAGGCCCCAACATCTGCAGCGAATGAGATTGAAGATACTTTGAACATTATTTTAGTTTCACTTCAGCTTTATGTTTTATTTTTCATCTTTTTGTGGAACTATGTTTTTGTAAGTGAGTCCCAGAGAGGAAAAGGCCCCTATTCGGTATTTCGACCCTCAAAACGCTGATAATTAATTAGTTTTATACTGGTTCGGCCATTTCGGCAAATTCTTTCTTCAAAGTCAGTTCGGTCTTAGCTTGAGCCGCTTCCCGGCCACCATTCCCACCCTTTGAAGGTTCACACCCCTCTGTACCGGTATTGAAACTCATTTCATATAAAGATGTCCCTCTGCGCGATACTTTAGCCTATGTCAGGCCGATAAAGATGGATTTGTGATCTGAACGAAGATCGAAGATTGTTCCTCTCGAAACTCCTGCGGGAAAATGCCGACTTGGAGATTCACATTGACTCCAGGCGGCGGAGACGCCGTTGCAAGCAGGGCACGTCCTGCCCTTGGGGAGAAATTTTGCGAAATTCACCTTGCATCCTGAAAATTTCCTCCTCTGCTACGACTTCCCTCGCCCATCCTACCCACCATCCCTTCTAAATTATCCCAGCTTTCAACCACTTTTCCGGAGTTTTTTTTTCCGAAAATTTCTCTACTTCCCCTTTTTCCTCAGGAAAAACTCCCGTCGAATTTGGGGGAAAGGTGTCCGTAGTGCTCCTGAATCAGGAAAAATCGTAAAAAGCTAGCAATCGTAAACATTTTCTACAAGGCAAATACAGCCCTCCTACCCCCCCCCCTCTCCACTGACCAAATGCGACCCACTCACCAAGGATCTTCAACGAGTGACGTGCTCTGGTGGCACGTGGAGTCTTACAGTTAGGTACACGTGGACCTAAATGGTTCGGAATGTGCTAACATGTAATACTGTAAGCAGCAACATGCCGAGTCAAGTAGCTAGGAAATACTGGATAGTTTACTCTTACCGCTGCAATATAGATCTCCCGATGCAATAGAGTTGGAAAGATCTTCATCGCAGATATGACAGTCCAGGAGGTATCGAAAAAGAGGCTTTCACTGGAGAATATTCCAGGAACCTCTTCAATTCGAAATTCAAATTCATCTTTCCAAGTCAGCTGTTCTTATAATTCTTTATATATTGCGGAGATAGGAACTATTAGGTTGTTCGGAAAGGAATGCGCGTTTGAGTGTAAAAAATTTTTATTATAAAAACGAAATTAAACAAGGTCAATCTAAAAGATAATCTCCATTACTAGCAATGACTTGTTGCCAACTGTACGCAAAAACTTCGCCAAAAGAGCCTCTTTCACTACTTTTCCCCTCGGGTGTGTCGTTAGGTCGCCGGAGAGGAAATGTAGGAGGTCAAAGAACTCTCTTTTGCCAGTTCTTCTCGACGCCGAGTGTGTCGGCTAGGTCCGCAAGAAGTGCGTCGTTAGGACTTGCTTGAAGTCTTACCACATACAAGCTCGCATTCGAAATTTTTGGTCGAGCATTTTCTAAAACTTTTTTTTTCTCTAAAAAAACAAGGTAGACATAGAAAAAATATATCAAAAGATGCGCAATAAAAACCTCTCTCTAATGGACAAAACTGTTTTGAAAAATCTCCTATAGTAGAAGAGAAATAAATAGACAAAGTCAACGCGCATTCCTTTCCGAACAACCTAATACTTTACTTCGATTCATATGTGGCTAGATTTCATCTCGTATAGAAATGTTTCCCTGCTGCACTAGAAATTACCCGATTCCTTGTGCAGGAACACATAAAGGTACATGGTCCTGAATCAACATTGAGCTCGTTGGGCTCGTATATGCCCTGATGGAATCATGGGAAACCATGTGCGTGTTCCCACTCGTAAAACTTTTTCTATACTGGCCGAGCATTTGCGGAGAAATGGTTTTATTTCCTCAATGGTCTCTTCCAATTTCTATGCCACCCGTGTCATTCGAAACGATATGAAGGGGATTCCCATACTTCTCACGTGCCCTGGACTGAGGTCGATATTTTAAAGATGTCCTTCGATATAGGGCGACCTTTGAAGAGAAGGTCATCAAAAAAGTAGTTAGAGAGCTGGAAATTAAAAAAGAATAGAGCAGAAATTTGGGAACCTGGGCAGCCTATTTAGATATTGGGAGTTTTGGGGACTAAAGTTACGGAGGAGCTAAGGCAAAATGATTCTGCCTTAACTCCTCCCTAACTTAGGAAGCTGTAAATGTAGGTCCTATAGCGTTGATTCTCTTTCAAGATGCACCGCGCGCTCTTCTCTCCGAAATTGGCGGGGCATGCGATTTTGCCCATAAACCGTGAAGGGCAGAGGCCAGCCAATAAAAAAGTCACAGTTTTATCCTCTCGAACGAGTCTGCTAACAACTTACAGTCTTGAAGCGGACTTGCGCCGACGCTAGGCTTTCAAGGAGGGAGAAGCGCGGCGGGACGGCGCTAGCTTGGCGCGTCCACGCGACGCTGTTCTCCAACATTTGTGAAGCTAGCCAGCCAAAATCACGATCTGTGGGAACAGGCTGCTCTTGAACCTCAGCTCGCCTAAAGCGCCCCAGCGTCCTGCAGCGGAACGAAGCAAGACTCGTGCCACCTCCTAAGGAAGTCCAAATTCTTGATAGCCCAGGGGAGCCGACAAGAGAATTCACCTCTGGCCAACTCTTGATGTGTAGATCCATTTACTACTCCACGGTCTCTGCGCATAGATATGAATGAAATCTTCAGATGATTCAAAAATTCGCTTTCTCGATTTAAAGCAAGGATGTATGAACAGAAGTCACACGGCAAATGAGTGATCAGGTCAGAGGGCAGAAGCCCTTATAACTTAGGGGTTGAAGGGTCTACCTCCTAATGCCGACGAAGTGAGGTTCCGTTCGCGAGCTAATTGAGGCGCCTTCTCTTATCTGAGGACGGCGTCTGACGTCAAATCGTCCATTACAAAAAGACACACATTCAAATATTGGATGGCTTTTGTCATTGCATATGCCAAATGCCCATTCAAACGCCACCACGATCTCGATTGGGACTCATCAAAGTCGCGGGCGCGCTTCCAATTTTTTCGAGTCGGTCAAGACCTGAACTCTGTTGGCTCTTTGCCGATGAAACAAGCCGTTAGACTGTTTCTCGCTTCCCGAAAAATTCGTGCTTATTCTGTATTCCATTTATTCCGTCATTCTCAGAAATTATTCTGATCATATTTCACATGCAAAAGCTAATGAAGAATTCGATGGTCGTTCTTTGGAGCGATCTCAACAAAAGCCCCGTCCATGTCATCATGCTGCAACCGCCACATTCCCTTGAAACATCAACGATTCACTGCTGCATGCCGGTCTCAATTTGAATTCTCCATGCATGACCGGCAACCTGCGACCAGACAACTGGAAATGAATGAAAACACCCGAATTAGACAACGGAAGGAGGATGGTTCTGCGCAAAAACTGAATTACAGCGATCGGGAGGGGGGGAGGGGACTTTTTGAGGAAGTCCGAGGGAGGTTTTTTAACCCGTAAAATTACCCGTAAAAAAATATACTTGATGCACTCATCATCGCCACCTTTCCATTATGACCCGTTTTTCCAATAGAAGGCATCATTGTGGAGCCCTACAGAAGGCGCCTAACATCTATGCGTCTAGAAATTGAAGAAGGTTGACTCAATGGCTTCGATAGGCATGCAAGATTCCTAACAAATTAAGAAAGTCCTGGAGTGGCCTCTTAATTTGTGTGTATTTGTTGTTCTGTATTTTGTGATTTTCTTCTTTCTTCAGTATACTACTTGGTTGTTTTATTTTGTAAACTACGAGGTTCCGCTGACATTGACCTACTGTTCCGAAATAAAAATTCCTCTTCAATTACATTTTTATGGATTTCAGTCAAATTCACCGGTCACCGAAGATTCGTTGGTAACGATTCGGATGCGGCCTGACGGTATGGGACGGTTTGGTTTTAATGTTAAGGTGAGATTTCGAACCATAGAAATTCTCTGCCACATGGTATAAATTGAATTATGATGAGAAATTTTTGATATTTTTCTCAGGGTGGTGCGGATCAGAACTATCCGGTTATCGTATCACGAGTCGCTCCAGGAAGTTCTGCTGACAAGGCGCACCCACGACTTAATGAAGGCGATCAGGTAATGTTTCAAGAAATAGTATACTGTTTCGCTGGAATATGGAAGCTGATTTCCGAGCAAAAAGTCACGAGATTTCTGGTGGTGCCTGGGCTGACAGTATGTAGGGCTGTAGCATTAGGGCTTTATTAAGATACGCAGAAATGTAAGTTATGTAAGAGGAAAATGGAATCTGAATGGAATCTGAACGATTTCTGGTCCCGTTTTTTTCGTATCGAATTTGAAGGTGATACCACCAGTCGGGGCGGTGAAAAAAGGCATAGAATACCATTTTCTACCACACGTAGTTTTCTTCCTGAATCTATCACTGCCCGGTCACCACTGTTAAAAAGGCCCATTCCGCCTCCCTGACACCACGGCCCTGTGGGTGTGGCGTATCAATATACCCACAAGGTGAAACAACGTATTCCATCGATTCGACAATTCTGTCAAGAAAATGATTGCGTGGCGTGTCTCAAGCGAAACAAAGACTTTTTATGTTCTTACTGTGTCCCATTTAGGTCCTGTATATCAATGGCCGTGACGTGACGCCAATGTCCCATGACACTGTGGTGGATTTCATCAGAAGCGCCCGATCTGGACCAAGTGGCGGCGAAGGCTTTCGAGTGCTCACAAGGCGAGAGACCCAATGGTTTGTTCTACTTTCTTTTTTTGTTGTTATCCAATCTTTTCGTAAACTCGTCCCTTCAAGAGTCACACCCTGTGCACTGTTGGGCTAGTCGGGTTCCTTGAGGGATTCCTCTTGTTTCCCTTGGAAAACACAGCTGTTCTGCCGCCTTAAACCACAAACCCATGTCCTGAGGTAAATGTTGGAATGGCGGAGACCCATATCCATTCTGTCTTTCTCACTAAGGTGCCGTCTTCTTGTGGGCGAGTAAGCGCATCAGTGAGGAAGACAGAGCCACGAGGTCCTACATTTTCCCACTCATCCGGTCACAGCCGGATGGGTCTTTGACGCGGCACTCCCGTGATGCAGTGACTGCGTGGATGTGGAATCGTCATGAAAAATGGTTGAACAGTACCACTGCATTACCAGTTATGCTTCAAAAGAATATAGGAACTGTCTGGCAGTTTAGAGGCTTGGGCCGAAGTGGAAGTGATAAGCGATTCCAAAAAAGCGCGGTTCTAGTGGAGGGGAGCGCGAAGGAAGGGGGGGGGCAAGCTGAACTGAAAAGTTTTTGTCCTCTCTCTTATGACTACTCGTACGTTGGAGACGCAAGGTATCTCTGACGGCAAGGGTATCTTTGACTAGGAATTTCCTCGACGCTTTCCGTGGGCGCGTTCCCAAACCTTCCGGAAACGTCTTCCGACACTGCGCCCGTACGTGCCTTTAACAATGGCCACTTCAAAAGTACTGCCGTATTTCAGTATACCGCCTCGGCGAAGAAGTGGATGAACCGGAAGGTGCCGCACTGCCGGAACAGATGCGAGTGGCTGAGAGTGTGCCACGAAGCGACAAACTCCTCACATTCCGCTCCGCGTGCTCAGTGAACGCTGCTGGCTACTGGTAAATGTCTCGCAATTTGACGGTAGGGGGCAATTTGGGTACGGAGTCCATTCTCACAGGCCTATCCTGCTAGCGTAATTTCTTCGACTTTAGCAACTTTACCGGAAGAAACCGGGTATGACGATGAATGACTGCCGATTAACGTCGAATCTCAATAAAAATAGGTAAACCTCCTATTGCTGATTATTATTTTCAACTTTACCCTACAAATACTCTCCAGTAGAGGTAAAAAATAATTTTCTAGGTACCGAGATGTTTGCCCTTATGATGCCACAAGGGTACGATTGAACTCCTCCCCAAATGGCGACTACATAAACGCTAATTACGTTAATGTTAGTAAGACTACATTCAGATATTGAGTTTTTGATGTGTGTTATTCTGTGGTGCTCAACGATGGCGATGGTATCGCAAAGTGTAGTATGAGACATTTAGTGCAGATTTTGTCCCGGATAACATAGAACTGTGTGAGGGCAGCTATAGGCGAGGCCATCAGAGCGACGACAGTCTCCCGACGAACAGAGGGACAGAAGACATGCTTGTTAGAGATTTGGCCATGGAAATAACGCAACTGCCTGCCTCTTACTTTTTGGGGATGACGCATAAGGAGTGCGCAACACTTGTGAACCGTTCAAAGAGCATTATAGCCGGCAAAGGTTTGCTCTCTTATAAGTACTTTTTGGGCTCAGTGCACAGGCGACCCTTTATCCGCAGGGACGCCTTCCATGTTAAGGCTGTGTCCTGAAGACTCATTGCGGCGGGTGGCCGGACCCAAACGCCAATTGTTTGGAAACGCTGATTGTTTCAACGATGGAAAGAAGCAGGCCGGATCTCCAAAAACGCCTGAGGGGGGGGGGTCCTTCATTCCCTTCCCATTAAGTTGATTTCCAGCCCTGCATAGGTGCATAGGTAAAGAGGTGGCTAATGGCGCTTGTAATGAAACCAGGACTGAGACGGCAGACATGGCCCCACCCAGATATAACAGCGATCCCACACAGATGTAAACGCAACGAGTCTGTCTAGAGAGCCTTCAACTGGTGAGTTTGGTGACTTGCTGAGTGGCAACCTTTAAAGGCACAGTTCGCGACCGCAAATTGCGGGAAACGGAACTCAAATAGGCACAAAAAAGTGCTAAGTATCTGATTAGCGGAGAAGCAGCAGAAAGAAGCAGTCCGAAATGGTATAGAGAAAGACGTAGGTGGCTACTAGCTAGTAGCTAGCAGCCGGTGAGGGTCGGCATGGGCCTAAGGGGTGTCCATGGGCCTAATTAGTCAGCTTCTAGCGGAGTTCTTGCCGTTTTTCACATTTTGAAAGTAGCGCAGCCTCAAAAATCGCCTTCCGGATCGTCCGACACATTTGAGAGGTCATAGCCTTATTTTATCGCGGAATGTGCTTTAACGCCCTTTATACAACTTACATTCGAGCCATGAAAGCGATATTGCTAATGCGGACCGTTCTATCGTGCCTAAAAAGGGGATTCCGGCTAACACGTGATGGACGCTTAAATGTCACTCTGAAGGCACGGTCGCGATTACGTATAGAATTTGAAAATATGGCGTCTGGTGCCGCATCTCAAAATGGGGTTGTTCAACGGTTTAGGCTTTATCCTTTACCTCTCCTTGAGGCTTCTTGAATATAAGGTGGTGTTCGAAGGAACGGCG